AGCATCTGTCTTAGTTAGGGTTTCTATTGATGTGACAAAACATGATCAGAGCAATTTGGGAAGGAAAGGGTTTATTTCACTTCATGTCAACCTTCAATGTTGAAGGGAGTCTGGGCAGGAACCTGGAGGCCAGGGCTGATACAGAGGCCATCCAAGGGAGCTGCTTACTAGCCAGCTCCTACTGTGAACTGTGGGCTTGGGGTGATTCTTACTTAGGTTCATGAGTTACATAGAGCTTTTCCTAAATATCTGCTAATTCTTAGATGACTTCATAACTTACAGTGGTGCTAAAAATTGATTGTATTCTCTGGACATGTTTTTGGGCCTAGTCACCAGTGAACCTTAAGTGTAAGATGATCTAATGTGAGTATGTCATTGGTCAGTACTAATCCAAACTAGTTTTTAACTCTCCCTACCTCAAAATCATGGTAGCAGGTGAAGCCAGGACTCTCTGTCCAAAGGCCAGTTAAGGTCTTGTTCTGCCACTGGTGCTCATTCTAAACATCTAGTCCCTTCCTCTTGTTCTTTGTAGAGTGTGGCTGCCCTAATTCTGAAGCTGCATTGCCATTATACATGCTATAGAAGTTGCTGAAACATTTTCTTCCTAAGACTGATTCCAAGCAGTGATGAACCAGTTCTGCCTTGAGGGCCTGAGTTAAGTGGCCCTCCACCTCACCTCACTTGGGATCTTTTGTTTAACTTCCTTGGTTGGCACTTAGGAGAAAGCAGGGTATAAACTGGTAAAGAGAGAGTCTGTTTGAGTTACTCCAAAACATAAAATAGGGTCTTACGGACTTTGGTGAACACTGGAGTCTGAGAAGTGGAGATGAGGAATTTGTCTGACAGTAAAATTAGGTCCTTGTGATGGGTGCTAGTGATCTGGTGTGACTGAAAACTGAGCATCACAGAAGGGACACAATGAAAGTGGACCCCAGAGATACTGAGTTCCATTTTGGACCTATGCAATAAAGCAAATATCACCACATAAAATTAATCAAAAAAGTTTTGGTTCTGTCAGGATATGTTACATTTACATAGTACTACAACTGAGCAGTAACATTGTTTTCTAGAAGTATATGCAGGGATTATCACTATTGCTAGCAAACAAGAGTCTCCTAAGCCCTCAGTTAGTGATACTATCAATGGGAGAGGACTCATATTGACTTCTCACTGGTTGGGGGTGTGTTGCCAAAGGTTAGGGAAGGGTAATGCGACTATTTCTGAAAGCGAAATGAAGACTGCCCCATCAATTGATGCCTCCTCTTGTGAAAGATCACTTTGTCACAAGGAAGCTGTGGGATAGCAATTGGTGCTTATTGGACTTCCCTTAAAATTGTACCAAACCCTCTCAAATCTTTGCCATACTTTCTCTGCTGTGTTTGTGGATGGATGTTCTGAATCTGATGTTGTCATTTGAGCAGTGTCCACTGTTCTTGTCAGGGTTGTTTTCCATTTCTAGAAACAAACCTCTCTATGCCCTTCTGTAAGAATTAACATTTCAGTTATTAATGTTTTATGATGAAATTCTACTCAGTTATATATTTGGACTTCATTTGCAGTTCCAACATGAATTTTTAGTAACCTCTGACCACACTTTAGTTCCCTTGCTATCCTTTTCCAGACCTACAGTTGCTGCCTCCACTGGTCTTGAGTTCCATGGAATTACCAGAGGGTTCAAATGACGGTCTTATAAGATGCCTTCCACAATCACAGATGCTCACTCACATTCACATCAAGAAAGTCGAATCCCTAATCTTTTCCAGGTGGTTCTCAGTTTTCTTGGCCACATCCATCCACTGCCTAAAGCAGATGCACTCTTAAAAATGTATTTCTTAAATAAGATTTGAAGCTTCTCATTGATTCACAGGCTTCAGAATGGATGATATGTTAGCAGTTGTGACACCAGCATTAAGCATGTTGCACGTCTCCAACAGGTCCTGGGTGGCTGGGTGCCATGACAATGAATAGTAATCTTTTGAAAAGAAGCCTTCTCCCTCAGAAGCAGGTCTCAGTAAGCTGTGCCAAAGGAAGTACCAGGCTTTGTTACTTCAGTTACACAACATAGGGAGAGTAAATTTGGTAGAATTCTAAAGGGAATTTGGGGAATATAATTTTGAGAATGATAAAATAATAGTTGCTTCAGCTTAGTGTCTTCAGCTGCATTCACCCCCTAACAAGAAAGTCGTGCCTATTCTGTGAAGCTTTGAAGCCAGCATCATTGTCTGTTCTTTGTTTATGAAAGTCTTGGGTGACATCGTTTTTCCTAATGTGAGGCTATTTCATCTACACTGAAAATGTTATGTAATGTAGCCGCTTTCGGCAGTGTCTGTAGCTAGATCATTGGGATAACTTGCTGCCGTTTCTACCTCAGATTTTCTGTTTCACTTTGCACTTGTATCTTTAGACCTCATAGACCAACTTCTGCTAGCTTTATCATTTTCTTCACCTCTGGCCTGTATAGAATTAAGGTAAGGCCTTGCTCTGAATTAGATTTTGGCTTTGGGATACCATAATTAATCCTTGATGCAGTTCACCATGTCATCAGTGGGGCTGTTAAGTCCTTGTGTCATTTGAGTGTACACAGCAGTAGCAATGTCAGTTTGTTTCCAGAACTTTTCCTTTCCTTTACTACTTAGCTAGTTGGCATAAGAAACGTGGCTTGTCATGCCTTTCTTACTAAATATTTCCAGCTTTGGATTTAAACTGGTGTCTGGAGTGTTTGTTTCACCTGAACACCTAAGGTTTCAGTATTATATCCTAGGAAGGGGGGGGGGCGGGACTGGAGAACAAGAAGTTAGTGAATGAATCAGAACACATAGAACTTTATTAGGTTCACAGTCTCATACAGGTGTGTTTCATGGTGTTCCCAACAGTAGTAATACTGATAGCAAGATCACTGATTCCAGGTCACTGTAATAGTTAATGACAGTGAGTCAGGCCTGCAAACCTAGCCATTTGGGATGCCAAGACAACTGGATTACATGTTCAGGATATAGAATGAGTTACAGGTCCGCCTGGACCACTAAGTGAGACTGTCTCAGAATAAGGACTGAAAAGGCTTGCCCAGCATGTGTGAGGCCCTCAGTGTGGTTTCTATCACTACTCCCTCTGGTTTGGTGCCCCCCCCCGCCCCCAGGTCTCCAGATCAGTTGTGACAGTGATACAGCGCGAGCAGATGCTGTTGGAAAAATAGACTCATTTAGTGCAGATGGCCACAGTCTCCCATTGATCAAGAACCGGATGTCTGCAAAGGCAGTACTTCAACATACACCTGGGTCTACAGGGAGTGAAAAATAAACGTCTTCAAGGGATAAAAACTTGTGCTGTACCCATGTGAGAAGACCATGGCGTAATAACTACAAAATTTGGAGGAAAAATTGTACTGAATCAAGTTACACTTTTTCTGCGAAAGTAGTAAGCATTCTCGAGCCTACAGGACTTCCAGTTGTAGCATCTGTTAGCACTAGCACAACTAGTTGCTGAGTTCCAGGAGTGAAGATTTAGGATTAGGAGAGCTTTGGTAAAAAAATAATTATTGATAAACTTGGAGTTCAATTTCATATAGCTCCAATATGAAGCAGTAAAACAGTTAGTTCAAAACAAACATTTGCCAAATAAAACTAATGAAGTTGAATGTGAGCATATGTATATATACAGATTTCCACATTTGTCACAAAAATAATGCAGCCTATAATTCAAATATATGTTATAAAACTGTTTTGATTTCTGTATCTTATAAAAGGATCACTTATTTAGAGAAAGATCATTCTAAATACTTTTTCCGATTAATTTTGTTTCCTTTCTACACATTCAAGTGAATCGAATTTACATGTTAAATCTTTGAAATTGCATGACCAATGTAGCCACAGTTCTTTAAAACTGTAACAAAATGGATAAGAATCAGATTTTTTTTTTTTTTTTTTTACTTTTTCCAGACGGGATTTCTCTGTGGCTTTGGAGCCTGTCCTGGAACTAGCTCTTGTAGACCAGTCTGGTCTGGAACTCATAGAGATCCTCCTGCCTCTGCCTCCCAAGTTCTGGGATTAAAAGTGTGGGCTTCATTTGCAAAAACAACCCAAGTCTCAAAACATTGCTGACTCTAACTGTAGCCATTCCCTATCCTCCCCAAGTTTTAGGCCTTTTTTTTTTTTTTTTTTTTTTCTCCCTTAAACTGTTGATAATTTCTCATCAGTTAGTAGCGCACAGACCAAGTATTACTTACTCAGAATTATGTTTTTATATAAGTGGGTAATGATACAGACCATTCTGTGTGTGGGGGGCACATGCATTTAATTATCTAATGTTTTAAATGTTTCATCTCATGCTGCTCAGTTTGTTTCTGCAAATGCTCAGTCTCTCTTTTCCTGGTGCTCCAGTATGTAGCTCACAGAGCCCAAAGAATTCTATTTCTAATTCTTCAGAGTTTGCTAACTCCACATTGAAGACTAGAGTAAGTGATGTTTGCTACAAAAGTGAAGGAGCTACAGTTAAGAGCCAAGAATAAAAGTGATCCTGCCAAACAAGCTTGGTTCATGGTGAGAGGCTGATCCTCTGTGCCAGCAAATACAAGTCCACCTATTACTTGCTTATAATTGTTCACAGAAAGAGTAGTCATAGGTGAGGAGAAGGTAAATACTATTGGAAATATCTTCTTAGGTTGGAGAGATGGCTCATCAGTTAAGAGCACTAGCTACTCTTCCAGAGGACCCGGGTTCAATTCCCAGCACTCACTGGCAGTTCACACCTGCCTATAAATTCCAGTTCCAGAGTATCTGACACCCTTACACAGACACACATACAGTCCAAACACAAGTGCACATAAAAGTTAAATAAATAAATAAACATTTTAAAAATATTTTATTACAGAAGGTATCAACTTCCCATGATAACTAAACCTCAGAATTTTTTCTTGATGATGTAGATCACATTACAATTTCATAACAGGTTGCTAATTTTTAAATTATTATTTATTATTATTATTATTTTTTTTTTTTTTACAGAAATACACTCTCGGGAAATGGCCTCTAAATCTTGGCTGAATTTTTTAACTTTCCTCTGTGGATCAGCAATAGGATTTTTTTTGTGTTCTCAACTATTCAGTATTTTATTGGGAGAACAGGTTGACACCCAGCCGAATATGCTTCATAATGACCCTCATGCTAGACATTTAGATGATAATGAGCCCAGCCACCTCAAGGGGCAAGTGAACTTCAATGCAGACTCTAGCCAACATAAAGGTAAGATGTGTGTTGTAAGAAGTATTTAACTGTTGAAAGTGATGGGAAGTTACATAAATCTCATTATATTACTGTTAAACCTATTGATTGAAATGAGCACTATGTGGCAGATATTAAGGTGATTTTTGATTTATTTGCCTTGAGAGTAAAACCCCAAGATTTATTTAAGAAGTTAATAATTTTCAACTAGTTTTAAGTGAAAATGTTTCATAAACCATAATATAGAGAAAGACATGAGTTTGGGGAAATTTTCTTTAGTGTCAGTTTTGTTATGATTTATATAAACTAATGTTTGTTACCCTAGAGAAACACATAAGATGCATATATTTTAATTTGCATTTTTATCAGTGGCTAACTAATCATTTTTGGGGGCTGAGGGTCAAAGAGGTTTAGAAGTAGCGAATGTAAGTACTTGTTACAGTGACTTCATTTTCTCCTGGTTCTGAAAACTGAAACCAGACACTTTCTCAGTGGAGTCTTCTGTATATCCCTTGAATGTTGGTTTCTCTACATATCTGTCCTTTAGCTCTCTCTATATGATGTCACTTATTTCTACCTTTCCCTTACTGAGTTTGTCTTCAGCCTATCTCCAGACATTGAGAGAAGACATTATTAACACAATACAAACATCTCTGAAACTGGTTTGTTTGGCAGAACAGAATACAAGTAGGAATAATTGGAATTGCAAAATGGAAAAGCTCCCTCTAGTTGAGAGATGGTTCTTTTATCTTCCCAGTAGTAAATTGCGTCTTCTTTACCTCTCACTAAGGGTCAGGGTATCAAAACCTGGTTGTATGTCATCAACTAATACTGCACTTTCGTAGTGTAGCAAGTTACCGTGTTGCATGAATTTATGCACAGTGATCCAATGGTGTTCTGTGTTGTTACAGCAGTTCACTTGCTGTGTATTTACTTTATTGCACAACTCCAAGTCTTCAGATGATTAATTGGAGCCAAACTTATGAATTATAGAGAGGCTGTTTTGGACCTCACTGTATGCATATATGTTTGATAAATATTCGTTATCTTTATAGGCCACAAAATGTGGGTAATGCCAAAAACTTACTTACACTACTCTCAAAATATATAAATTGAACTTCTTTTCCTTCTCAATCTCAGCATAATATTTCTGTGTTTTTCTTTTTTATCTAACAACCGTGTAAGATGAGAACTATGAAACTTTGGGACAGTTATTTCTTCGTCTCAGTTGGTTCCAGTTGTTATTTAATTCTAACAATACTGCCTTGCCATTTTCTAAGACCTCTTGCTCTTAATCTAAATATGTTTTCCCCTAGTCAGCTCTGTAGGAGAAACTGTGGCCAGCCTACCTAAGCCGCAGTCACCCAGCCCACCCGTGCCCAGGCCAGCTGAGCTAAGTCTGTCTGTACGCCCAGAGATTGCTGACTAAAGGGCACCTGACCCAGAGACACCAATGAGGAGAGGACGAGGCAGCAGAGTCAGCTCCTGAGCCCATGGGACCTTGTGAGAGGGTATAAAGGCAGGCCTAAGTCCCTTAATAAACAAGTCTGCAGCACATTCTGCGACTCACTGACTCCTGAGTCATAGGTGCTGCATCTTCTCATCCCCTTCCCCCAAGGGCTGTCTGAGCAGGGTCACCTGCAACAAGCTTCAGCTATTGCACATATCTACATTCGATCCAATTTCCCCATGCCTTTTCCTGTCCTTTGGTTTAGTGAGCTTTTACTGAAGACCCGTGTCCTCAGCAGTCAAGTGCCACTTCAGCTCTCCCTTCTCCTGTTTTGCCCACGTTCGTGGGTCAACACTCTCATACCTATATGCTTTAAATAAATATGTTTAAAAAAAAAAATCATCCTGTCACTGCATTTCTTCCTATGCAATGATCTCTGGTCTACCTGGGAAGTTCCCTGCTAAACTGTGAGTTCTCGTCTGCTAGGAAATAATTTCCCCTTCTGTGCTAGCACATAGCTGGTACAAAGGAACTAATGACTGGAAGAGTGAGAGGGTCTGCCAGATCCCAGCTGTGGGCATAAAGCTGTCTTGTTCTACATGTGCCACTTTTGCTGTCCACTTCTGTGTGCCTGTGTGAGGAAGAGATTGATTTCTTAGTTCCACAAGCAGTGGATGCTTCCTAACTACAGGTTGCTGAGTCGGCTGCTCTCCTCCTGGACTGAGTTCTGGGTATCCTGTGGCATGATAATTCTTTCTTTCTTGCCCACTTCACCTTCTCTTCTCTTTCAGTCAGTTAACTATTTAACTGTACCTCATTGTTAATCTTTTACAGGACCAAGACTTAAACAATTTACTGACCTTTACCCTTAAAAGTGTTGGACCTTCTTAGAATTGCCTAGAACTTTCTTATCAAGCGTGTCTTATAGAGTCATACTGGTCCATAACTAAATAAAGATGGGAATCAGGAGTGAAACAGTGCTTTACAAACTAATTTTGTCTAGATCTAAAAATAGAGATGTAGGGCTTGTATTTTACATATTCCAAAGTTGAGGGTTTTCTAATGATTATTATTTATCATGTTTATAAAAGTATAGGCCTCTAGCAATTGGAAGTAACACATTGCTGCTTACCACATATTATCTTAAAAGCCCTGGTCTATGGCCACACACTTATGTACATATGCATGGTACTAATTAAACTCCAGTTATTAATAACAATTCAAACACAAAGAGGACATGAATTTGGGGAAAGAAGGAGTGGGACACTAGTGAGTTGGAGGGATATAGTGGTGGATGACCAATATACACTGTATAATTGTATACAGCTTTCAAAGAAAAGTTTGTTTTTAAAAAGCACTAGTCTAGATCTTCTAACAAACCCTTCCTCTAGACTGGCAATGCTCACATTGACGGCTGACAGCTTGAGAATTGTTTACACCCAGGTAATCAGTCAGTTTAAGTTCTCAAGCTCATTACTGTGTGATAGGCATTTTCATCAAATGGTGGTACTCTGCTGTATATTCTGACATGAGCCTCCTGTGTCTTTGTAGACTGGTAGCTTACAGAGACACTGCTCTAGATAACTTCAGAAATCCAACGACTACCCATTGCTCTGTTCTATTTCTGGTTGCAGTTTGGAATGAAGTACATAGTATTATCTGAGCAATCTCAATCCTACATTAACTCCTATTTTTTGAACTGATGTTATCATCAAAGTCTTCGAGAACATCTTAGAGTACTTGCGAAATCCATAACAATTGCCACATGAACTTTACCTCAGCAGCATGTTTTTTTTTGTTGTTGTTGTTTTTTATTCTTCTGTCTTTTAGATGGAAACTCATGCACAGCAGTGAGAAATTCCCAGGAATGTTCTGCTCCTTTCTTTGTAGTATTACATAACAAGTGTGAGATGGTCTTTGAGTGTGGATTGCTGGGTTTGGGGTGGAACCTGATATACTACTGTACCCAGCCAACTCCCAGAAGATGGTATTTTGGTCACTTTGAGTAATAAGCACTTAAGAACTGGTAACACTTAGAGATCTTGTGGATAAAACTAACTGGAAATTAGAATGTCAAGTCATGTTAGGTTGTGTTTTTCTCAAAGTCATTAATAACAAATGAATAAATAGAGCTTTGGAAATAATTTATGAAAAGTTTCTTTGGTATGATTTATTAGGATTTACATCTGTGTAAATGTAACTTTTAAAAATGTTTGTTTGATAGATGAGAACACGGACATTGCTGAGAAGCTCTATCAGAGAGTTAAAATTCTTTGTTGGGTTATGACAAGTCCTCAAAATCTAGAGAAAAAGGCCAAACATGTCAAAGCTACATGGGCCCAGCGTTGTAATAAAGTGTTATTTATGAGTTCAGAAGAAAATCAAGACTTCCCCACTGTGGGACTGAAAACCAAAGAAGGCAGAGAGCAACTGTACTGGAAAACAATCAAAGCTTTTCAGTACGTACATGACCATTATTTAGAAGATGCTGATTGGTTTATGAAAGCAGATGATGACACATATGTCATCCTGGACAATCTGAGATGGCTTCTGTCAAAGTATAACCCTGAACAACCCATTTACTTTGGGAGAAGGTTTAAGCCCTATGTGAAGCAGGGTTACATGAGTGGAGGGGCAGGATATGTACTAAGCAAAGAAGCCTTGAGAAGATTTGTTGATGCATTTAAAACAGAAAAATGTACACATAGTTCCTCCATCGAAGACTTAGCACTAGGAAGGTGCATGGAAATTATAAATGTAGAAGCTGGAGATTCCAGAGATACCACTGGGAAAGAAACTTTCCACCCATTTGTACCAGAACACCACTTAATTAAAGGTTATCTACCAAAAACATTTTGGTACTGGAATTACAACTATTATCCTCCTGTAGAGGTAAGTCTAGAAATTATAATTACTATGTAAATAACTTGGGTCTGACTTTTGTTTACCTAAAAAAATATAAAGAACAGAGTAGTTAATATGTATGTGTTTTATTAGTGTCAATAACTAGAATGTGTTTAGTGTATAGACTGGCAGTATAACAAAGCAGATGAGAATAGAGGCCCAGCCAGTCATTTAGTAGACATCTGTTGAGACCTCTGCATGCCAGCTGCTAACACACAGAAAGTCAATACATCAAGTTCCAGGTTTATTTTCTACACAAAGAACTACAGCATAAATGGGCATACTTATAAAGATGAGGCTTTGGACAATGCCAGGTGCTCTAAAGCAGTGGTTCTCAACCTGTGGACTGACCCCTTTGACAAACCTCTATCTCCAAAAATATTTATGATTCATAATGTAGCAAAATTACAGTTAATGAAGTAGCAACGAAAGTAATTTTTTGGTCGGGGGGGGGGTCACAATATGAAGAACTGTATTAAAGGGTTGCAGCATCAGGAAGGTTGAGAACCATTGCCATAAAGAAAATCAGGGAGACTGTAACCTGAAGTGGAGTGGGCTGCCGTACAGAGGTGACCCTGAACCATACCTTATAGTTATCTGGGGAGGAGTGGGGGGAAAATGTTCAGAAAGACTAGGTTCATATACTATTCTTCCACTTCATAGTTGGATCATCTTGGTTTACAAGATTTGAAGCCTCAATTTCTTCATTTGCAAAAAGGGTGTAATCTGTCTGTATTTACTTGTATTTACAATGTATTATAGCCTATGACAGTATTTAATGATGAGCATGGCTTTAGTTTGTATCTTAATGTATATTTCTCAGAGTTGTACCTTTGTGAACTATCTCACGTGTGCACATCCAGCTTTACCAAATATAAATCTATTGCCACATTGAGAACAACAGTCTTGCAGACAGTTGAGTCCTGTGTACCCTTTCAATCTACTTCTCTTATCTCTGTCCCCTAAACTAAGCCAGAAATTACATGTCATTCGTTATCATGCGAACTTTTATATTTTTCGTGTATGTTGATACATGCATAATGAGTCAGCATTGTTTTGTAGATTTTGAAATTCAGTTGTAACACATCTTCTTACAAATTTCCTTTTTTTTCACATTGAGATATATTAGCATTACTATATCTGCTTCATCTGAGTTTAAAAGTAGTTTTGAAGCCATCTGTTGTGACATTGTTTATAGCTGGTGATTTTTTTTTTCCACTTGAAACTCTTGCCATCTTCCAGTAACTTATAGTCTCCTACAAGGGGCCACTTTGTTTTCTTTCCAATAATTATATTTCTTTTTTACTTACTGTATTTTATTTATAATACTTAAGAGCAATATTTTAGCTGTCCACTAAAAACGTCAGACTAAAGCCTTATTCTTTGTATAGCTTCCCCTTTAACTTGAAGAAATCAAGAATTTTAAATGGACCAGCACTAAATAATGTTAAGAAAACTCAGATTTAGTTGAAAGTGCTTAGGCACTTCCAGGTTGGGTTTTAAATTCTTGGGAACTGAGAGAACTATTAGCATCTTATACCATCTGATGGGCTAGGCACCACTGCCTTCTCTCTCAAGCCTTGATGCTTGAGTATTGTAATGAGTGTGACTGTATACCACTGTGCCCCTTATTAACAATGTTCACTTCTGTTATCTTTTAGGGTCCTGGTTGCTGTTCTGATATTGCAGTTTCTTTTCACTACGTTGATTCCACAACTATGTATGAATTAGAATACCTCGTTTATCATCTTCGTCCATATGGTTATTTATATAGATATCAACCTGCCTTACCTGAGGATATACTAAAAGAAATTAATCAAGCAAACAAAAACGAAGATTCAAAAGTAAAATTAGGCAACCCTTGAAAGCAGAACGGGAGTGAACTGAGGTTGAATGGTCTCATTGCACTGCAGGACTCCTGCCTTTCTGACAGAATCCTGAAATACCAGGGAGGAACTCATCTGCAGTGAACATTCCATATAGAAATTTTTCCAGTGGATGACTATAATCTGAAGCATTTAAAGAGCTGTGAAGTCTGTTAAAATGTGTTTTGATACAGTAATATATAACTCTCTGTATATGAAGAATTTGTGTTTTTAAAATGGTGAAAGAGAGAAGAGCTGGAAAGACTCTGTCCCTGTTCCTGACAGCGTGTGTTATCATTAACGCTGAAGTGGTTCAGCTTGAACCACCTGCTGCATTGCACTGTTAGAACACAATGCTGAACAGATCTGCCTTAAAACTAGAAAGAAATAACTGTTGCTCAGTATACACCTTGCTCACGTGTATATGATACAAACCAGCCTCCCAATTATCGAATGAGAAATTTTCTGTGATTATATTACTTATAATTGGCAGTGTTTCCTCAAGAAGAAGTAGAATAAGAATGACACTTACCCAGAAGTTCACTAATAAACCACATTTTCTGATTATTATGGGCCTTGACTACATTATGTGCTTAGTTCTATATATAATCAACCTTGTACCAAGTCCCCATTGACTCCTTCCTAAATGTTTAACTCTTGAATACCATTCTCACTATTAATGCTTATTTACTTGAAGCATTCTATAAAACGGGCATTTAAAAATATTCTGTTTCCAAATTCACCCATTACTAATTGTGGGTAACTTAATTGAATTTAATGCTATTTGGACAAGCTTTTCTTGTATTGGTACCACTCTCGCGAATTATTCATGACATTGCAAATTGATTATTTCAAAGTCTTTCCAACTACATAATTATTGTTCCTTTTATTTTCATCCTGTGGAGATGAAATTTGTTGTGCCTTTCATAACTTGCTTAAAGCACTTTTAAAATTAATTTTTATGTCTGATGTGCCTGGTAACACTGGCAAAAATTTTTGTATGTGGCTTTTGGCCAGAGTTAATTCAAAACATTAGCAAATAAAGAACATTTAGACAAGCTAACATATCATACACTTTATTTATAAATAACTATTTCATGCTGAATTCTTATTTGGAGATAATTGTCTTGCCAGTATAAGTCTAAGAACAGAGTCCCATTCAGAACTGCTATCAGAATAATCTGTATCATTCCAACTCCAGTTGCTGCTGAGTCTCTGAGAGGGTAGAAAAACTTCTGAGTGTAGAGCAGAATATTTTACAGATTTTTCCATAAAATTATTTTTAATTGTAAAAGATTTACATTTTATTATGCTAATTTTGCATGGTTATTACACCATTGATTATAGTTGAGCTAAATAATAAATATAAGTAATTTATATTTATTGTGTCAAAACCATAACCTCTATAGATGATATATTTGAAGAGGTATTTATTTCATTGACTAGTTATGGATCACTCTGTCCTAATTTGGTTTGGGTTGTTCTCATGGTAGTGTCATCTTCTGATACCCTAGGCTTTCTAGTTTATTCCTTTAACAGCTCTTTACCATGTGTTCCATTTATGTTACTCTTCTTTATTGGCAGAGTAAATGCTTTCTTCAAAAACCTTAACCTTTATTCATATGAATGCTGCAGTGAATTCTGGGCTACAAAGCCAAGCAGCCTGGCTTTTAAGTTCCTCCTCCATCACATGTAACCTTGAACAATTTACTTATTCTGTGCCTCAGTTTCCCCATCTATAAATTAGGGACAAGGATGCTACCTACCTCACAAGATATTAATGAGTATATAAATGACTGGGCATAAGGTTATGAGAACATTGTCTCAGGATAGGACATGGTCTTAAGCATTTACCTTGGAGTGTAAATAATTGATTCAGATAAATGAAATGATCAAATTATATCTCAAAGAAATACTTTGTGCATTTCTTACAATAAGTAATATGTATTATTCATCTAGTGCTTGCTCTATGTCAGGTACTGATCTTATTCAGTACAATTGTGTTAATCTTAAAAAATTGAGTGTTATTCCTATATTTAGATGGGGAAACTGAGGCTCAAAGAATTCAAATAATGTTTCCACTGTCACAATGCTAGTAAGTAAGAAGGCTGGGATTTGTAATCCAAACCTGTATGTTGTTTGTATTATGTCAGCTCTAGGGTTAGTCATGTGGATGGGTGGGTGGATGGATGGATGGATTAATGAGTTATGTATACACATGCACACAGACATGCATAACATCTGGTACTTTTCTCCAGTAATAGTCTAAGTGGTCAAACAGCTAAATTGGTATGGTGATTCTTAAATTGTGATCCTCACAGCCTTACCTGGAGTTTGAGATGAAGATCTTAAGTGTTGATTTTTTGCATGAGGCCCTGGAGTATTCATAACCAGATGCCTTCTAGTGAGAATTACTAAATTAGCACTCCTGGCAGCTTGGTGGAGTTTGTAGCCCCTGTTCACCCCACCTAGATCGCCTAAGTCAAAAACTCCAAGATAGAGGCTAGCTGTTTGGTTTAAAGAGGTCCTGGAGGTTGGTTTTTCTAATACTATGTTGAGAACTATTGCCTGTTTACCTACGTGATTTTGGTGCAAATAGTCTTTGGAACAAACACACTCAGGATTTCTGCCCAGGAGAGAGGCATTTTTCAAAGACTAAAACATGTTTTAAATCAGTATAGTCCTAGAACATACCATATTAAAAGTAAAATGCTATGGAGTTTAAAGGGTCAATGCATCATTGGATTGGGCAAAATTCTTTACTTCCCTATAGTGACTATTACCATGATCCTCAAAATCTATAATTCTCCAAGTTTAGTCATTCCACACAGAGCAGAACGGGTTCAATAAGTGTTAATATGTATATATGGATTCATTAAAACATATAAATTAATATCATGAAAAATGTCCACTAGCTGCTAAAATTTTCCAGTAGAAATAGGAAAATGCTACTTCATAATATGCCAAGTATTTTCTGCTAGTTTATGCCATCAGCTTAAGTTTTATCATTTTCAACCATCATTTGCCTATACGATGATCTAATGAAGCTAAATCTTTCTTCTAAGTGTATGTATGATAAAGCACATTAAACAAGATTTTTATGGTGATAATGATTTATTTGCCATCTTTTAGATTAAGATCTGCCTTGTGAATAATTGATTGTAGTGTGGTTTCAAGGCATAAGATTTAATAAAGTCTTATGTTCTCTATTAATAATATGCTTATGATTTTCTAGTGGGAAATTCATAGATACAAAGCTGGGTTTTTTGTTTTTTTTTTTTGACCCAGGGTTTTACTATTTGAACATTTGAACATATCTAAATTTCAGAGATCAACTTGTTACTATAAAGGATGACAAAATAAATCATACTGTGTTTTGAATGTGGTAATTGGGTTTGAGCATTGAGTTGCTAACTACTTATTTTTATAGTTATTTCTTGAGTTTGAACTTTTTACCCTCTTAGCCTGTCAAACTATATTGCTAGATCGAGGCCCTGTTACACTTGAAAGACATCACTTGGTTTGTCAGCTCCTACCTAGCTGCGTACTTGCTCTTTGAATTGGTGAGGTCATTATTCTGTCTTGGTATTTCCTTTGTACTTACCCTCCACTTTCTAGCTCCTTACAGTGCTGTCTCCTTGTGGATTTGGGTGATGAGAGTGTGTCTATCATTTGTGATGGTTTTATGCCTACTACATTTAGCTTTCCCTTGAGACTAAAAGTACAACAGTAGTATTTGCTGACTCTCAGGCTACATACCCTAACTGAACATGTAAACCTAAAACAATTTTACATCAATAATTAAAGGAAGTAAAGTTATATACCCTCATTTCTCATTTTGTATTAGGCCGGAGGGAAACATACTTGGGAAATCTGGTAGACAAGCTGTGGTCTATTTCACACTAATGTACCTCTATTGACTAAAGATGACTTACGGTTATGTATCAGAGCTGTATTGAAATGAGGACGTCATACAGATCCTCTCCAGAGAAGCAACTTAAAAGCAGCGTTTGAGTTGAGTGGACTCAGTTCACTCCTCACCTCCTAAGTTTTTCAGGTACAGGAGTTACATCGGAGTGACTTTGCAGGGGCAGGGCGCTATAACGGGATGATCTACAGGAAATATATCAGAGGGGAACTAACCTCACTGCTAAGCAGTGTGTTGTATTATACAGTGAATGTTTGTGTTTGGGAATTTCAAAATTATTTAAAGTAATAGTGTCAATGAAGGGTTTAACTGGTGACTTGCTTATTTTAAGTGATCACCCCTAAGTCAGAAATAATGTATTTTTAAATGTTTTTTAAAGTGCCTTTTGAAAATTTTTAAACAATGGATTCAAACAAAATAAATGACCATGTTCAAAATTGCTTCATCTGCGTATTTTTAACTGATATAAGGGGGTTGATACCTTTTATGGATAGTTTTGGGGATTTCTCTATCAAAGCTTTTCCGTTTGTATAACTTCCCTAATTGTTCTAGAATGTATATTATGTACGGAAACAAAGTATTCCACACATGACAAATCTTTAAAATTAGAATGTCTACTCACTGCTCCAGGAAAGAAGGGAAGTGGGGAGGGGGAGAGATAATGAGAGACCGCAAGGAAGGAGAGGAAAAAGATCACTTTCCTGTTAATTATTTTTATCTTTCGTGTAAACCGAGGGATTCGTTTATTCACTAAATAATTATGCCAACTATCAACAGAAATACAATGGCAAGTAGAACATGAAGACTCCCTGTTTTCCAGTTGTCATTCTCAAGCCAGGAGATAAGCCAGTAGAGGGAATAGGTGTTGGGAGAACAAAGACTGATTTAAAAAAAAAAAAAAAAAAAAAAAAAAAAGCAGTATTCTGAACAGTTGTCTCAACTCAGAGAAAGTTAACTCTAACATGAATGACAGACATTTTGTGAGTTTCTGAAGTTGTCTATGCCTTTCATTTTTTTTTTTTTTTCTTTATTTGAGACAAGATTTCTCTGTATTATTTTGGAGCCTGTCCTGGAACTAGTTTTATAGAGCAGACTGGCCTCAAACTCACCGAGATCTGCCTGCCTCTGCCTCCCGAGTGCTGGGACTAAAGGCATGTGTCACCGATGCCAGACAAAAAATAAAGGTAGCCGGAGGGACAGCAATGGGTGCTGGGAATGAACTCTTATATTTATAGTTGTGAGCCTAGCCTTTAATGGCTGAGCTATCCCTCCAGCCCTCTTTGTTCTTGGTATATAAAAATAGGCTGCCATCTTTGCTTGACTTCTTTGGACACATGTGCGAGCTCACTGAGATGTGATGATGGCCCAGCGTACTTGTGTTTGTGGTCTGAATTCATATGAGGCTCAGGTCTACTAATGTTAAATTGGTCCACGATATTTAAGTCAAATCAAAACTGACTTCATATTCTTGCTAGGCAAACATTGCAAATGCTCATGGAGCCCTTGAGTCCAAACAGTGTAACTCATTTATATCCCACTAGCCATATGTTCATTATTGCCATACATACCTGTGTGTGTTCGGTAGCAGCCTTGGAAAGGTAGAGATACATACCCTCATACTGCCTTGTAACTGTGGTGATTTGGTTGTAATGATTTACTCAGATGCCAAAATATTTCAATTAATAAATTTGTGATGCTATTTTAAGTCATTTTTAAGTATTTATATAAATACATACAGGTTTACTTTGTTCAATTTTTTATAGTACTAGAAATAATACAGAAGTACTGAGTATATCTCATCTCTAAAAGAAGGAGCCTTACCTTAAAGATATATTGCAATACATTGTTAATATATCAGACACTATGGCCTATCCAGTAGAAATTTTTTTAGTATATCTGACAGTATAGACTATGCAATAGAAATTCTTTTTAAGGCCTAACCGACATTTAACAACCAAAGTTAAGTTCAGCAACTTTAGCATTCTTCAGATAACTCTGTACTAGTAACATGGAAGTATGTTTCCAACAGTTTGATTAATTCTTACTAATGAGTGAATTTTATGCAATTGCTAAGAACTTTGGTCTTAAAACTATTTCTCTTACATTCTGTTACTAGTGGGATTTGAGGTTTTTATTGTTTTGTGTTCTGATTTTTTTCCATAACTGAAAGTTTATCTTTGTTTGGTACAACTGAATACACCTTCTGTTGTAGTAACAAAAATTTCCCCACACTTTTAAATGAAATTAAGCCCTAGATCTTTAGTTGTCTGAGTTTCCTAATGAATCCCCAGTTAAAGAGTCACAGTACTTTGCCATTCAAAAATCCTTGTTTGGATTTTTGTACACCTCATAGATACACTTTCCATTGCCCTTCCCCCTCTGTGTAGTAACAGAATCAAATTCCAGGATGGATTTTTACTTTCCACTGATGTTGTCATTGCTACAATGTGGAAATATAGTGATAAATTCCAGAAGTAGGGAGAGCATGATTCAACATTTTAACATTTCCATCTGTTCTACACAAAGTCATCTTGTTCTTGTGTTGTTAATAATATGGGTGTATGAGACAGTATTGTCTCGGTTTCTCTTCTATTGCTGTGACAGAACCACGACCAGGGCAACTTACAAAGAAAGCACATGATTGGACTTGTGGTTCGGGAGGGTTAGGGTCCATGATGGAACAAAGGCATGGTAGTAGGAATAACTGAGCCCTCACATCTTAATCCAAAAAAAAGGAAGTAGAGAGAACACTGGTAATGGTATACATCTTTTGAAACCTCAAAGCCAACCCCCAGGGACATCTCTTCCAACAGGACCACACCTCCCAGTCCTTCCCAAACAGTTCCACTAACTGGGGACTAAATATCAAAACATGAAGAAATGGGGCCATTCTCATCAAACTACTATATCTAGTTAGAGCCCATGATGGCAGAGCAAAAGCATGGTGACAAGAAGAGCTAAGAGCTCACATCTTAATCCACAATGACAAGGCAGAGAGATCTAGGAATCTTACAGGAGTCTTGAAATCTCAGAACCCACTCCCACTGACATATATCCATCCTCCAACTAGGCCACACCTTCCTAATCCTTCCCTAACAGTTCCACCAACTGGGGACCAAGCATCATGAGCGGGGGGGGGGGGGGGGGGGCATTCTCATTCAAACCACTACAAGTATGGTTGTGATTGTTTTAAATATTCCATTTCTCTTTAAAATATTAAAACAACTTGCCCTTTTTGTCTCCTCAACCAGATTTCTCAATAGGTGGATGTATATGTTTAGAAAAATTGGCCAGAGATAACTTACAAAGCAACTTTTAGAAGCCTTGCCCAGCTGAATTTCCTTACCCTTGGTCTTTTGATTTCTGCTCCTTAAAACCTCACCCCCTGTTCCCACCTCCACCAGCACCACCCCTGCTGTCTTCTCGTTGCTAACATTATAACTTTCCCATTCTTATCAGCAGGAATATTTTGAAGATTGGTTTTGAAATTATACCTTATTAGGTAGTTAAATGAGAAATGCAGTTAAGCAGCTTCCCTATGTCACTGAATGAGGGCTGAGAATACCTGCTAATAGGATCTAGAGTTTCTTCTTCCCAGCAGAAATGTCTCTAAAACTCACATAGTGAACATATGTATACTTAAAATCATACTACCCAGTGAGATAAACTTAATTTAAAACTACAGTTGATACCATCTTCTTTGGCAAAATCGGCACTGTGTTTAAAGGGAGCTCACAGGAACACCATCAGACATGTTTTCCCGCTTGTTTGAAACAATGACGCTGACTATTCTCTGGTTTGCTGGAGGTGACATTCACACCACATTGGAAAATAATGATTGGCATTCTGAAACAGGGGTCTCAGGAAGGTGACACTCCTGTCACTATCAGCAGTCCTGTTAGTTTGAGAGGCAGTTGTTCCCCAGCTGAAAGGAAGCATGGCTAGCTTTTTCAGACAGAAGGTGGGAAGGTAGCAAGAAGCCTGAGGTTGTCTTCTGGCTATTACAGAGGGCCTGGTATCTGATTTAAGCCCAGGTGGGCTGAGGAATATAGAGGCGAGGCGATGGGAAGGGAGCTGTGCAACTTCTCAAGGGAAGCAATTTGAAATCTAATTAGCCTTGCGGTCCGTCTGGTTTCAAGGAGCTGTGCATTGGTTTCATTGGTTCAGATACATTTCTTTTAATTAGCACATTGTCATTTTCCTGAAATGCCTGGAGCCCTATCTAACATCATGGAGCAGGTTAAGTTTAATCTTAAAGACTGGGGGAAATTGGCAAACAACAACAACCAGAAAGGAGAATGTCTGTTTCCTAGAGTGAAACATCTCTTGGTATAAAGGACAAAAATACACATGCATTGTAATCTATCTCAATTGGGAGAGAAAAACCTTTGTAGACAAACAAGACTAAAGTCTTTGGCACTAAGATTGTCCTCTCAAAATTTCAGTGCTGTATTACCTCATTTTTTTTCACTAGATATTGAACCTACTACACCTATAGTACTGTATTTTTAAATATTCACTCTGTAGCCTAGGTGGAGTTGAAGTTTGTGCTCCTCCTGCCTCCATCTCCTAATCAGCTAGAATTACAAGCTTGTGGCACCTAGCCCAGCTCCATTATCACAGTGTACTTAAAGATGCTATGATCTTCCACAGTCTGATCCTACCATGTCATTCCCTTATTGTTTACTGATACTTATTACCCAAATATTTAACTCTGCACACAAATTCAGCTCCTAATCAAACATTTTAAGCAATATTTGAGTGTCTCTCCAAGTTAAGCACCTAACTATATAATAGGCAAATGATTTCTTTTGTTGTTCGTCTCGGAGAATTTACTTTCTATAAGGAATAAAATGGAAAAAAAAAAAGTTAAAGGTAGTTACACACTAGGATTATACATCCAGTCTACTTTAGCTACTTTATATTATTCTACTGGATGATAATATTCAATCATAGTCCTGGTAGTAGATGAAGTAATTTATCCAGGTCTGAATCGATAACAAGTAGCAGGATCAACATTTTAAGTCAATGAAACAGATTATTAATCACTATTATATACTGTAAGTTTAATAAAGGGGCAATAGGAAAAGAACTCTTGACCAGTTGAGTGTTTTGTTTTATTTTTTATTTTTTCCTGGTAAGTTCTATTCAATGACTGTGTACACCTTTATTGTCTGGAATTTACTTAATGAACCTGTTCTCTTTGAATTAATCCTAGATCATCACAGAAGTAATTTCTGCCTTCTCAGCCATGTTCTATGTACTGCTCTTCAAATAGTCCATTGGTGTGTGGGGATATTTTGTTTGTTTTTATTTCATTGTCCTTTATGTATGTGTACATTAATGCTTACATATGCTTTGATACAATATTGGTCCATTAGTACTTGGAAAGTCAAGATACGTGATCAAAACCACTTTACTAATAAAATACCCCATCAAAAATTGACTCTTGCCAAAACTAGAGTCACTTCCTGGTACAGCATACATGCTGGTGAGCTAGAGTTCTCAGAGAGGGTCTGCTGGTCCTGATGTATTGATATGGGCCGCCAATGCCTGTGTTAATGCTCAGGGCAGAAATGTGCCCTACTTCACACATTAGAGAACTGGTACCTACTTAATTGTATTCAAAATTGTTTAAAAATATAAGAAATTCACTCAGTTCTGTGAAGTTATTTGTGTCATCAGTTTTGTCCCTCACAAATGGTCATACAGAATAGTTTGTAACTCCTCCTGGGGTAATTCCTTTAGCCCATATTCCACATCCTGACATGTCTAAACTAAAGTCTTTTCTAGATGACCACAGAATACAGAAGAGAATGTTTGTAAAAGTATTACAAACAACTGAGAAGACACCCACAAGCTTAAGTAACCTAAGAATGAGCAGGGAAGTCAGAATCTTCAGGTTCTTCATCCACTGATAGTGGGACATCTTGAAAATTCATCGAGAGACCAAGTTTTCAGTGGCATGCATTTTCTCTATCGGACACTGCAGTTAGAAATGATACATAGTGAAGAATCTTAGGGACCAGAACTGAGTATCTTGTTTACTAACCAGAAAGCACTTAAGAAAGGAGAACTGAAAGAACCAGATGCTGTACAGGAAAGGCAAAATCGTATAAGTAGGACCTTGAGCAGCATCCCCAGGGCACCCCATAGCCAGCCCATAGCCAGCCGTAAGTGTAAAGCTCCACCCAGCCTTTTATACCATAACCTCATACTGCCAAGACTGCTTAAGCTTATGAAGCACCCTGAACCTGGATGCTCAGAAAGGGGATTCTATTTCTCTACAGAAACCCATCGGCCCATCCAAGCTGTCAAGACCAAGAAGTAACTTTCTTTAAAATAATCAAAATGCTTCCCTCTCTTTTGTGTTAGTTTTCTCAAAACACAAAAAACTACAAATAAAGAAATTAGCCACCACCCAAAAGTCAACTCTGTTACCCTTTGCATATTCCCTGGCAACTTTTTTTCAAGGGGCCAGTAAATCCGTTTAGTAAGAGATGAGGTCAACTATTTTTTTTTAATTAAATATTAAGGTTCAGGAATTAAAATGCACACAACAGAACTCTACATTCTACCATGCATATATAACAATGACCAGCTGCCTAAATGTATAGTTAATACTACCTTAATAGTATGCATATGTTTAAAATAGTGTTCTTGAAAATCTGCAGATTGACCTAGAGTGAGGATGACCTTGGATCTAAGCAGCAACTTAGTTGTCACTCTGGAAGGAAGGGGGTGGAAGGAGAAATAACAGACTGCCTTTAGGGTTCTCTGTAACATCCAGTGCTAAAGCAAAACCTACCACATTCTCATAGTGCCTGGCGAAAGCCAACCTAGATCCCAAATGTAAGGGCAAGTGAGAAAAGTCAAAGAACATGGCTATGAAAACTGGTTGGTGACAGCTATTAAAACTAGAGGACTGGCAAAGATCGGAAGGGTGTGTGCTGATTATCTCATTGTTTCAATACAAGAGTAAGATAGCAGAACATGGTTGTAAACCTTGATTTATAGATAAATAAATAGAAATGGCAAGCTAGGGAATGGAAGATGGGAAGGAAGGCCTTAATTCCTTTGAGATTTCAGAAGTTAGAAATTTTGTGAAACGTGTCCATCAAGAAATAGGAACAGAATATGCAAAATATGGTCATAAAATTACCAAAATAACTAAAAATATAAGCCTTTAACTATTAAAATGCCAGTGTGAAGATAACACAGGCCTTGGAGCAAAAGATGAATAATTCAAGATGGAAAGTGTAAAACGATGAAAAAACTAAGACACATGCAAATGTGTGTCTATAACCACCCGCAAACATAGGATGGTATTAGAATTGCAAGGGGATTCATTGTCACGTTACGTTTTGAAAGTTTTTCAAAGACTTTGATAGTAGAGATTGTCTAAGGGAGGAAAGATGCTCCTGTCCCTCAGTCATGGGTGCTGTTACTGCCCATGGTAAAGAACAGCCACGGATGCCCGAAAACAGCATCTTTGGTACTCACATGAAGAGGAAGACTCTCAGAGCTGGCGTAGGCTCCTTGTTTACCTTGTCATGAGGAATCTTCCCATAGAGGATATAAGGGTGACTGCTTGGTTAATGATAATGATAGCTGGTAGGGGAGAAAAGTCACATGAAGATAGCACTAGTCAAGTCATCCAATGACCAAGAGTTTCTCTTAGCATCCCTCCTTCTACTCACTTTGAGAACAAACATACTTGGTAGCTACTCTTCATTCTCTAAGCCTTGGAGTTATGAATTACTCCCATACCTAAAATTGCATCTATTCTAGCTTATGTCTTCTTTTGTTTTTCACTGAGATAGAAGACAATGAGTGAGCTCTTCTCCATATTAAAAACAAACACAACTCTGCCATTACCTAGAGATTTAAGCTGTACAACTACGTCTTTGAAAATCCAGAAGCAGGCCCAGAGACACTATGCTTATTAAGATGCAATGAATGCCACATGTGGAACAGCTTATTCTGATATCAGGTCAGTGGTCTTTACACTGAATGGCATTTCCATCTTTCCTGAACACCCTGAGCTGCACATAAAACTAACAGATAAAACCCAAATATATTTAATCTGTATTTTTTCTGCCATTTGCAAACATATCACAAGTACCATAATAGTTTCCAAGCTCTATTATGGCTATTTAAATCGTTTTTCTCTGAATCAACAAAGTCTGTAGTACACATATTGATTGATCCATTTGGTTAGTAACAAAATGGACGCTGGAGGAAAGTGGCCTTTAATCCCTGTAGTGTGTTTAATAGCGGCCTTATTGGGAAATACTTTCACTGAGGTAATTAGCCTAGGATCTTGAAATTAGCTAATTCCAATGTCCTTTAAGAGACAGGAGAAGGGCAGCTGTCACACAGAGAGAAACAGAGAAGGTCATATGGGCAGAGAGTCAAGATTGAAGATAGTATCCCCAAGCCAAGAAATGCTAGGAGCCACTAGATGCCAGAGAAGAATTCTATCTAGAGCTTTTGGAGACAGTGTGGCCATGCCAGCACATTAATTCCATGTCTTCAAATTCCAGAACTGTGAGCAAATAACTTTCTGTTGTTTTAAGTCTCTAGAGTTTGCAGTAATTTTCTTTTACAGCAGCCCAAAATAAAACAGTGCTTATTGCAAAAGGACTGGAAAGCAGCCCTTGAGGGTTCAGTTTGAGGCATCTGACTCCCAAGCCCCTGGGAATTATAAAGAACATGCTGTACAATGACTGCCCTTCCTGCCTGACTCTATTCAACCTAGAAGCCTCACTTACTGACTCTTAGACACGTGTCCTGTCAGAACCAGTCTCTATTCAGAAGTTCTGTTCAACCGCCATTCAGCAGACTGTACTGTGTCTATGCAGACTTCCCTTGCCAGCACTCAGGGAAAAAAAAAATTAAGTGACTGGTTTTTAAATTATAGGGGGACATTGTTGTGCCCGATGTAAACAGGGGTTGGATGTCTTATTTCTCACTTTGTATGACATATAATAGGAATTATATATTGTTTGAGCATAGGGACAAATGACAAGAGACCATGTCGCTGTAAGAAAAGTTTTGAGGCTGGTATAAAGCCCCTACTTTATTCTCTCCTATACTTATAGAATTGACTAGCACAAACACCTTTCTTATGGATGCAATGACTCAACAGGTTTTCTACTCCAGAAAATGTGGATTTGAACTTCCACATAACACACCACCAGGAAAAAAAGTCCTGCATTCATATTAAGAGAATGTAGGCCAGTAAAAGAAGAGAAAGTAAGACACTGTATCTGAGGCCAGCACACACTCTAGACAAAGGGCTTGGAGGAATCCAGCTGGTACTGGCCTCGAAGCCCCCTTCCTGAGGACTAATTCCCATGACACCTGAAGGTGCTATTTGAGCTGCCAAAGATTTAAAAAAAAAAAAAAGTCCTACCTAGCTTTTAAGCCTGTGGTTCACAACAATGACCAGCTATGCTTATTTCTTGAGGGCAACCAACATCTGTCTAATAGGACTCAGAGCCTCTTAATAAAAGGGAATTCATGCCTGGTTCCATAAACCTAGATAACTAGCCATGGCTGGAGGACTCATGGACTCTACAGGAGAAACTACTACCATTTTTCTAAATCAATCTAACTTCTGACTGTATTATAAACCACCCACAGGTTAAGTGTAGCCCGCACCCCTAATCAAAGAAGCTCCCTTTGTAGCAGATGGATGGTTGCTACAGAAATACACGGCTAGTCAGAATGCAAAGAGTAAGTGGGCATAAGCTACCCATCCGCAATTAGTACAACTACTTAATTACCCATCCCCAATAGGTATATCTACTAAGCTACCCATCCATCCCAAATTAGTATATCTATAATACATCTTCTACACCTCAGGCTCTGGAAAATGATGAAGTGTGGCAAAGAGATTGTAAGAACTAGAAGACCAGGAAGCTGCTGCAAAGAAGTTGAACCCCTGAATCTCAACAATATGGCTAAATGCTATCTGAGCACTGATATTATCAGTCAAGGTACCAAAGGGATGGGAGAAGGATCATAAGGCCTCACCCCCAGATGAGGAACTACGGACAGTCAGTGTATGCTAAGGGAGGGAGAATTATTCTTGTCTAGGGATGAACCCCCTGATAGGTAGGTTTGCCATTTCAAGTGATCAGCCCTAAACACATGTACATGGGAGAAACATAAAATGAACCCAGTAGATTGTATACATATGCAACAATAATCATTAGACCAAAAAAGAAAAGAAAAGAAAAAGGGTGAATGCTAAGGCAGGGGAAGAAGGGGAACAAGTAGAAATCGTGTAAACTCTGTATTTATGTATGAAATTCTCAAAACAATAATTCTCATGTTTTCCTCCTTTACTCGCTGGTATTTGAGTTTGTGTATTTGTATTTTCCCCTCCCTTCTAATTTTTTTTTTTTTTTTTACTTACTTGGAGTAAACTAGGAAAAGATGTTAGAAAATGCCAACCCAGTTCTCCCAAAAGACTACTCAGTTTTTCAAAATTTATTTTAGAACACTAGTATTGTATATGACATATATCTTTTAAGTGCATATGAGAACTGCATTCTGCTGTTTTCCTGCCGAT